AATAAATACTAGATGATAATAAATAAACAATCTACTACGCCTCTCTAAACCCCGTGTCACGGAACCCGTGACAATACTATGATTTGAGGACGTAAGCTACGTTAAAACATATATCTATCAATTTATCTATCTAAAGTTACAGCACATACGTTCAAATTTTTTTAAAAATATAATCAATTATTTCTCAATAACCAAATAGCCAAACTCGATAAAAATTTTCATTTTAATTCCACATATATTTAAAATTTCATTAAATTTGATCAAGTAGTCGCCAAGAAATATTCTTTCAAAGTTTTATATCTCTTGTAAAAGAAAACGTACCTTTTTTTTTTTTAACTTAAAGTAATTATTTCTTAATAAACTTCGATGAAAATTTTTATTTTAATCCTACAAATATGTAAATTAAAATAAAAAAATTTCATCGAATTTAACCTAGTTAGTGCTCGGAACGATCAAACAAAAATTTGACAGTCAAATACTTGTGATTAAGTCAATACTATACACATACATACAAACATATATATGTAGTATTGATTAATCTGCGATTGATATCCGACTTAATTACAAGTATTTAACTGTCAAATTTTTGTTTGATAGTGCCGAGCACTAGACCTAATCAGTGTTTCGGGCGAAACTATTTTCAAAATCTGAAATGTTTTACCCAGAGGAATTTTAGCTTCGTCCGAAACCCTCCGAAACTAGTTTCTAATAGTTATTGAGATATTTTCGTTTAAACACTAAAAAAATCATAATCGTAGCCATTTTTAATTTTCAAGATTTTCACTGTTTTTTTAAAACTTTTATTGAAGTTTTCTTGATAATTACCAGGCCAAACTCAATAATTTTTTTTATTTTAAGGGTAAAGGATATCCCTATTTGCAAATTATATATAAAACTAATGGTAATTTTTTCTTTTTAAAAATTAAAGAAAATTTTATTAAGTAAACTGGGTTTAAATTCGATGTAGAACGGTTTTCTAATTCTAAAGTAGTAAAATTATTAAAATTGGTTAAATATTAATTAAGATACATGTAGTGCTCCTAGGTCCGGTCCGAGTTCGGTCCAGTCCGGGTCTGGTCCGGGATCGAACCAGACTCAGACTTTAAATTTTACTAGTTTCGAACTTCAGACCAGACTCAAACTTAATTATGAGCCCGGTCTGGGTCCGGTCCGAAGTCTGCAAACTAGTTCGAGTCTGAATATATATATATATATATATATATTGGGCTAGTGCTTGGACCCATCCAAAAAAATATTACCCGGGTAAGTTGGTGGGTAAACCTAGTGTTGGCAGTAGAATTAATTTGGCAAATTAATACGGTTATGGTATGTGTCATATTACTTGTCATAATTACTTTGCCGTTACATATATTGAAATACCATAATGCTATCTTATCTATATATTATAATGCTATTGCAGTATTGTGTTAATACTGTAATGCTGCAAATAACATAGGATAACATTCTGCTTGGTGTTTATTGTTTAAAGTAATTTTTAGAATTAAGATAATACATATCATTATCGCTCTTTTCTATCTGCATAGCTTTTTTCGAATCACGTGAGTCCTATTATTACGATGAGGATATCACTTCATCTTTATCATATTTTGTGGGACTCATTTTGGAATTCTTATATTTCCCTTTTTTGATAAATAAAATTTAAAAAAGTACGACGAACATAAAGTAGTTATCTATCTTGTATTCACGGACTCACAGATCATCGATCCAACTAAATCGAAAAGAGCGATAAAAAAAATAAAAAAAGATGTATAATATAAAAATACTGGATCGGCCCAAACATGAGATCTGGGTAATAGAAGTATAATAGAACAATATATTTCATTAATGTGTATTCAAAGCACTTCATAAAAATATGCTCATGTGATTTGCTAATTTTGGGTTTATACTAATTTTCTTTCTAGCAATTTATTGTGAAAAATTAGAGTAGTATAAAAAAATTCTATTTTAAATTACAAGATATTTATCAGAATTAACATTAGTAGGGTTTCAGACCTCCAGTAAGGTTCAGGTTTCTGATTTCGAATTAAATTAGTTAGCGACCTATAAATCCTATTTATTTTTATTTGCAAGCCTATTTATATAATAAGATATAATATACATCATAAAAGGTTTGTTTATATCTCCGGATAACCCCTTTTCATATTCTGATTTCGAAATTTAAAACCAAAAATAGGACTTTTAAAACTCCCACTTATTTTCAAAATATGAAACCCCCAGTAATTTAAATTAAAAAAATATTAACCTTTCAAATTATGCGATAAGGTTGAGAATAATTTTTTAATTGATAAGACCGTTTAAATTTTAATTTCGTTTAGCGTTCCTTTTTGAATCTTAAGCGCAGTGGAGGGTAGGTATGACTTATTGAAATCTCAAGACGTAATGAATGTTCTGATTGGCAGTTTAATTTCAAGAGAGTCCGAAGTTGGAGGAGAGGAGAATGTTAAACGAATTGTAACTTCAGATAGCACAATAAACAATTTTAAATACACTATTTACTAAAATTATATATCCATTACCCAATAGGGTAATTTTATAGGAAAATTTTTAACAAAAATTTTGCCAAGACTTTACACGCAAAGCTAAGAAACAATTCCTCTGATCGTGTTTGGTTTACTTGAAACACGGTGTGCTACTCATACGGTCAAAATAAAAATTTCATTTAGGTATACGTATAACCTTTATAAAAAACCCAGACCTCCACTTCACTTTGGAAATTGATGAACTCAGTTCGTTCACATTTTGATGGTTAAATAATACAGTAATATAGAAAACATTATATCAATATGAAGAATTTAGTGAATTTTCTTTGCCTATTTATTATTCAAAGCTTCATAATTATTTCGGTTTGTCAATTTGTTCCTGACACACGATATGAACAAACTAGCACCTTAGTAAATACCAAATTTTATTTTTTTGGTGGTAGTACTGAAAACTCAAATTTAACCTTTAACAGTACATTAGTGATAAATGATCTAAATGGGTATCCATTTGAATTATAATCACGCAAACAGCAATATATGGTTGTGACATTTTCTGCAACCTTTTTCAATAATTTGGATTTTCCTGTTCCGCTAGCTTGTGTTAAGGTCACATAAGGCGCATAATATATTGTATTATACAAATGATATTCATGTGAGCATTTATCAATGTAGTTTAGAAACCTTTCTAAAAGATCGTTTGGATTTTGAAATTCCCTATCAAAAGCCCTCCGGACGATTTCCATTTCTTTAATATGAGATTCAGGCACTAAACATGGAATATGAAAAAAAAACAATCAAGCATTACTGATACATAAAACAAGGTTACTAAAATTAATAGGCTTACATAAGTCTTTATCTATTTCCTTTCCTTTGCCTAAGTATTAAGATAACGGGATAAAAAAAGGATATAAGCATAAAGGAGGGAAATTAACAATTTTCAAAATAAAATTTTTCTTTGCATAAATCGATTTAAGTACTAATATTTCTCTTTAAAGTTATATTAAAAATTCATAAATAAAATCGATTTCCCTTTTTTTTTTTAAATAGCACTCGGCTTTCTAAACATATAGCTGTTTGCTTACTTTGTGATTCTTGAAATGCTTTTACAATATCATCATAGGAAAGTCCAGGATTCTCCTTTATAAAATTATAACAAAATTCAATTTCTGGGTTCATGTCATAAACGTTATCGTGGTCAAAACACAGAGGCGTATTTTCATTATCGATTTAATTGATATTTTATATAATTTTAGGTGCATCACGGAAAAAATCAGGTTTCCGACCGATTTCATATGCACAATTACATAAAAATGCCATCATAACAAATGCCATACGCAATTCTTCAATGTGTGCCAGGTTAATGGCGTACAAGCCACAGCCTGATCAGTAACTCAGCTCCGCTACGCTTAAATCGTACGTACGTACGTACGTACAAATGATTCAATAAATTTGAGTCAAATGTTCGTATACGTAATAATTAGGTACTTATTTTTTTAATATAAATAGAGTTCTTTTAACCAGTTTATTCCTTTTTCGCTTACAAATACTGTAATATAAAGTTTTCAACCAGTTTATTCCTTTTCGCTTACAAATTTAACCAAATCGGTACGTTATCTACCCTTCGATCGCTTATTTATGGATGCCGCAGAAGTTCGTGAAACAGTAAGGAGAAAATTATTCTATGAAATCGTTATATTTATATTTATGAGTCAAACAAACTATATACTTTACAAAATTATTTTAATCGAGATATATTTTTTTTAATAATATATATTACAAAATTATTTTAATCGAGATATATTTTTTTTAATAATATATATATATATATAATTTTTTTTTTCTCAAAAAAAATCAATTACTTTAGATACATACCTGCGATGATTTACCGGAACCCTTAAAGTTGGTACTTCCTAAAACATATACATATATATTGAAAAACTTCAATGAATTGCCATCATATCGAACTGCTGAAAACTTTGAAATGTTGCAATTTGAACTGGATGGATTTGTGAACATTGATAGTAAAGAAATGGCACAAGAATGGTTCAAAGCCTTTGAATCACACTCAAAAACCACAATGCCACAAACCAAAGGTTACAATGTAAAGGGAAGTCATGTACTCTTTCGAGAAAAGAGGCATTGTGCTCATAGTAATGAAGTTAAGAAAAAACAAGGCAATCATGAAATCAAAAATCCACAGTCACTTCGGGCACGAAATATAAACTGCAGTGCAAGTATTCACTTGCGGTTAGAAAGATGGCGTCTTGAACTAGATCATCCGTTGGAAATTAATATTAAATTTATCCATAACCATATAATTGATTCAGAAGAATCATTAAGTTTTAGGCGTGTAAATGATGATGTGCGAGAAAAATACTTAAAATTGTTTAATGATGAACATTCTCCCGCATCGGCACTTTACTCTTATGAAGATGAGCTTCATCTTCGTGCCACAGATGATAGTGAATTACTTGAATTACTTGCAGACCGATCTACCAATCCAGATTATAATTATATATCTAAATTGTTTTATCACTACCGCAAAACTACTTTAGGAGATCATAATGGTACAGAAATGTTTAATCGTTTAAAAGAATTAATTAATGAGTACAATAATTCAGGAAATGGTAAAGCGGCATTACAAGAATATGATGCATATACTGGAAAAGCATTTATTCTTTGCATTGTAACTGGGTTAATGTGCCGAGTACATGAGAGAATTCAGCAAGCAGGCGAGTTATGCTATGTCGACGCTTCTGCTTCATTTGACCCACTAAATACTTCTATCATCTTACTTTATACAAGTTGCACCATTGGTGCTTTACCTCTTGGATTACTAGCAACATCAGACGAATCTGAAGTTACTTTAGAGAAGGCAGTAATTAATATAATACTTACAATCTACTTTTTTTTTTTTTTTTAAATAAATTTATTGAATTTAACCAATAAATACTATAAATAATTTCAGTTAAACTTACTAAAAACAATCCCTCCACCTTATGCATTTTATGGACGCAGACCACAAACTGGACTAGCAGTTATACTTACTGATGATTCAAGCGCTGAACGTAATGCATTAGAACTTTGTTGGCCACAAGGAATTCGTTTATTATGCACATTTCACGTTTTACAGGCCTTTTGGAGATGGGTCCACGATTCAAAACATAATATTCTTAAAGAAGATCGAATTTCTGTAATGAATAAAATGAAAAAAATTCTTTATGCACCCGACTTTTTAAAAATGGATCAGTATTACCATGAATTTAAGCATGAATTTTATCGTTCATATCCATTATTACAAAAGCACTTTGAGCTTTTGTGAAGCCGTCGCTGTTTTTGGGCTCTTGCATTTCATACTAATCTGCTCATTCGTGGAAATAATACTAACAATTACGTTGAGTGTGGCTTTGGAATACTGAAAGATATTGTTTTCGCGAGGACACAAGCATATAATCCTGTGCAAGTGCTTCAGTATATAATATTAAATATGGAAAATTTTTATCGCCGATGATTGCTTAGCTTTGCACATAAACGTTCAGATCATTTTCGAGTTACAAAATGATTTTTGTGTCCCGGATGGGAGACTGTAGATGTGAACTTTATTCAACAAACTAGAATAGAAAATGAATTTTCTGTATTAAGCATGAGCCAAGATAATCTTTTGTACATCGTTAATAGTGAGATTGGAACATGTACGTGTTTAGTTGGCATGAATGGAGCACCCTGCAAGCATCAGGGTGCTGTTGCAATGAAGTTTCACATTCGAATATTAAACTTTTTTCCATCACTAACACCTGACGACCGTATGGTCTTTATATACATTGCACTTGGTAAGATAAATTTAATTTAAAATAACACAATATCACAATAAATATAATAACTAAGAAATTTTATATTAATTTATTAGGTCAAGTTGAAAAGAACAATTCTTTTT